AAGTTGTTCCCTACCGATGACTCTAGGGACCTGAGTAGGTCGTCAAACATAAGGTTCCAGCAGGCAGGATCGAGTACTGATCCTTGCGGGCAGCCTCTCATAGCCAGCTTGGAAACAACGGTGGAGCCTATTTCGAGGACCACGCGGTGGTCGCTAAAATAACTAACCATAACCTCGAAGACGTTTCGAGGGCAGGACCTATCTTTCAGACTCTTAAGTACCAAGGGCCACTAGACGTTAAAAGCGCCCGAGATGTCGAAGACTAGCGCCACCATCGATGCTCGGAAGCATCAACTGTGCGCCGCAGCTCCACGATCGTGTCCTCCGTCCGGGTGTGAATCCGAATTATCGGGCGGAGATCCGTCCCGGGGCTAGTGAAGTCTGGCTCAGACGCGACTTGATGAGTTTTTCGAACAGTTTCCCTACCACGGAGAGGAGACAGATCGGCTTGTACGATTTCGGGTCCTTCTCGTCCTTTCCTTCGCCTTTCAGAAAGATTCTGAGAGAGCCAACTTTCCAGGCGGCAGGAAAGACGCCCCAGCGAAGGCACCCGTTGAAGAGCCGCACCAACTGGACCAGGATTACTTTTGCCGCGACCTTTAGCACGCGTATTTCAATCATGTCCGGCCCGGGTGCTTTATCGGTCTTGAAAGTTTTAAGAGCGGCTAGAACCTCGCGTTTCGATATTGGGATCGAATCGTCGATTGCGGTAAGCCGGGACTATGCGCGCTTTTTATCTAATCGCGCGCTGTTCGTTAGTGTCCTGGTCCTCTCGGTCGTCCGGGACGTGAACATCCAAAAGTAAATCGGCAGTTTCGCGTACATTCTTGGTCGATTTTTTCCGCCTAGCGCTTATACACGAGGCCCCAGAGTTCCGAGTTACCGTGCAACGTGACAAAACGCTGCCAGCTTTTGAGTTTCGCACGCTTCACCGCTCTGCTGTATTCCCGCAAAGAAGAGTGGTATTCCAGTTTCCTCTGGCGATGAGCAGATTCCTCTCGCTTCTTCTGAAGTTCGCGTCTTAGCCAGTAGACGGCCTTCTTGCGCTTTGTCAAATCTCTTGTTCACCACCGATTGGACCGCCTTAACAAAACTTTTCCGAGGCATCGACAATGACGCCAGTGAGCGCAGTCGCCATATGTTCGACGTCTCCAGCAGAATCTAGTCTGAGTGCCTCCAGCCTCGAGCGAGAGTGATCGGCCAGGCATTCGACGTATCGATCCCGAGTGTCGAACTTCCTGCTTCCAACACGCCGTTCAGCCTCTGTGGTTTTCGGCGGCCTCAGAAAGATCTCTACCGCGTTGTGATCGCTACTCGTCCAGTCGGTCCTGATCCTCCAGCTGCCGACGAAACGGAGCATTTCGAGTGACGCCAGGGTGACATCGATGTATGATAATCCTCTGGACGTCCAATAGGTAGGCGGCTGCACAGCGTCATTCGCAACGTGAAGGCAAATGCTTGCATGAGCTCCTCGACCTGGACGCCTCTTTCCTCTGAACTCTGGGGACCCCGAGAGCGACGATTTCGCGTTGGCATCTAACGAGATTAACTCTTTGAGCGCCGAGTTGTGCGACGTTAAGTGTGTGCTGTGGGCTGCCCACTTTTTACGACAAAGCACACGCTGGGCTGACTGAAATTTCATTGCAAAATATGTTGATTATAACTGAAATAATTTGAGTGACTGCAAAAACCTTAACAGAACCATTTATTTCATTAAGCAATAATAACATGAACAATATAAAAAATAGTATAATATATCTTTTAAATTGAAAATTTAATAATTTTCTGTTGTGTGGTAAATCTCAAAGCAGGATTCAATACATAGGCCAATGTTACACTCTCTGCATTCATAGCGCGAATAATGCATTTTCGCCGTGAAGAATGTTTATTATTTTCTCTACTTATGCAGAATGTCGGGAAATGTTTCTCCGTTAATCCAAATGAAAGGTCGTCTGAATGAACTCTTCCTCCTTTAGCCTCTACTTTGCATGGTGGATATTTTTGTAAAATATCTTTTATGAGATGAAATTTTTCAAATATTTCAGTTTTATTACTAGCACTTTTGTGAAAAATATATGCATTATATATAGCGAGATCTAAGAGGTGGAAAAAATATTTTTTATACCATTTTGTGCTTTTTCTAACGCACAGTGAAGTGAACTCAAAATCATATTGATTTTATATCCCATCAAGGCATTGTAATCTGCTACACACTTTGATTTTTTCTTTGGTTTGCCTGTTTGATAATTAATTTTTTTTGTTTCAACGAATTCATTGAGAATGTAAGGTGGACAACATCCGTACGTTTTTTTTATCACACCACTTTAACGCTAATAGATCGTGTGTCGATCTATTTGCATATTCTCCTCTTAATTTTTCTTCCATTTTTGGCATATCTTTTCTATTTTTTCGCACTGTTCCAGAGGCATTCGTTTTTTTTCTTTTCGTGTAGTAGATTGTATAAATGCGGACTCGCGTACCAGTTGTCAGTAATAAGTGTATGATTCTTTCCTAAGTATGGTTGCAGGAGTGTCAAAACAATGTTTCCAGATTGTCCAATTAATGCTACTTCCTCAGTGTATATCATTATTTTTTCCAGAATACATTATGAAGTCTAGTATATAGCCGGTTTCGCAATCGCAAATAACGAATGACTTAATGCCAAGTCTATTCTTTTTTGACGGAATATATTGTTTAAAGAATAATCTTCCCTTATAGTAAAAGGCTTTCGTCGACGCATAAATATTCATATGGATAAAACGATTTAGAAAGTCAATTTCTAAGTTCAGTTTCTAAGTACCGGTCTTATTTTTATCAACGGATCCTGCGAACTCATATCGTTATCACTAAAATGCAACATTTTTAGTAATGATTCATATCTAACTCTGCTTATTAGTTTTGAAAAAAATGTCAGTTTTTATAACTTCATCAGTAGACCAATATTCTCTTATAGATGTTTTTTTCATTCTGGACATTAGCATAGTAATAGCAATAAATAAATACATTTTCGAAGGTGAAGTATCTATCCAGGTATTTACACGTGAATGAATTGCATGTATTTTAGTTTGCGCTAGATTTTTATGGAAATTATTTGTTTTTTCGCAGATACCAGCAGTTTTTCCGAGAAAAATATCTTAAACGCATCTTTCGATAAGTGTACTCTTATCCCTGAATTTGATTCATCAAAATTATATAATTTTGATACAAAATTTTTTCTTAGACCATGAATAGTGTCCTGGTGTATCATTAGATATCGAATTAACATTTTCTTGTAGATCTTCGTCCCCTTCCAAAAATGAGTTAAGTATTCGAAGGCATCTTCTGATTTGCTTATCCAATGTAAGTAATTCTTCAGTTTTCGAAGCTACAGAAGAAGATTTGGTTATGTTTGTTTTAACATCCAACCTATTATATTGATATTTACCGTCTATGTCACTGCTTATTTTTGATTTCTTGGCTGTCTTCTTAGGAAGCATCCTCGGAATCCGAAGATGCACAAGACGAATTCCATGCCCTTTTTCTTCCACGTGTTTTGATTTCAACCGTTTCAAATTCATGTTCACTGTCCATGTCACTATCACTATCACTTTTAGTAAAGAATTCCAGCTTATATTTAGACATTTTTAGGGTAATTTAAAATGAAGTACTAAAAAGCAAAGAACAAATGTCCAGAAATAGGTACGTAGCTGCACTGATAATCTCAAAAGTCTTTGGTAGCGACAATTTGTTAACAAATGCGCAATAAATATACACAAAAGCCTGAACAAATGAACAACTCTGATAAAGGATTGCACAAAAGCACACTTAAACGCTTACTATGTTTTTATATCTCTAGGTTTACAAGCATCAATCGCATATATGCCCAGATTGAATGGCTGTATGAGAACCCATATATGTCCCTCTCAGAGTGTGAAGAAGCTTCTCGAGATGATTGAGGTGCTTCTCAATATCATCGCTGTGCTGGAAGTAGCGATGCGATGTAAAACGAGAAGTTGGGAGTCAACACCTCCGCACACGAACAGTGAGGAGTTGTTGAGCTGAGTTGAGACACGAAATTAATCGCGAAGTTGGGATTAGAAACGGCTACCGCCGCCCACAGGTATTGTGAGCGTATGGCCGTCACGCCAACTCCGGTTCCTAAACCACAAACCGTGCCGCTTGCGGCAAGCTTTCTTTTTCTTTTTTTTTTTTTTTTTTTATGTGGAGGAAAATCTTCAAAAGACACCTGACTCCCTGAAGGAGGGAAGCCAGGTAGTGTCGGATTTTTACCGACTAAAACCTCCACGATGGCCATCCACCTGCCTGACGGGAAGCTCCGTGACCGTTAACTCTCAAAATTCGCATTATTGGTTTCTTCTCGGCGAGGGGGGCTCGCGCACCTCCTATCTTCTTGACGTACACTATCTTCTTGTAGCACCAGGTGCCACTCCCAGTGTTGCTCGTACCCGAGGCAATATCACTGGGATGGACGAGTCCTCACTCGTCCTCCCGTCGACCCTGCTGTCTTCTCTCCTTTCTTCTTTTTTCTTACTTGTGCCCTCCGTTGGTCGGAGGGGAGGAGGGTGGGAACCCCTTCCCTAGCTTCCTCATGCCCGTGGTGATTGCGGTGGCCCGGTCCGAGAGGGATCTCCCTCCATCGATGTTATTCGGCCGCTGCAACGTACTCAGGAAGGGTTGGCTTCACCCCTCATGCGGCGACTGGACCAAATCCTGCGGTGCCGTCTTCTCATGCGTGCGGGATTACCACGTTCCCGCATCCTCTCGGCTTCTTCTTTCGCGGCCATCACCTCCTCGCAGTAGAGGGTGACCGCCGTGCGCTTCTTGTTGGCCGTCACGAGGGCCTTGATTATGGCCGCCGGAGATATCCGGCGATTTTCCCGGGGGATGAGCACCAGTCTCGCGGTCTTCCAGCTATTCGGCACTCTGCCGCTGATCAGGCATTCGTTGAACAAACGTCTCAGCCGTCCTTCGAGGGCCTGGGGCGGTGTTCCTCGCTGTCATCTTCTTCACGGCTGCTGCCAGCTCCTCCTCCATGACCAGCGGTGGTGGTGGCTGCTGTGAAGCGTCTCGTGAGGGGGAGGGGGTGCTCGCGCCTCTTCCGAGTCCTTCGGAAACAACTTTTCCAGGACTCTGTCCAGCGTTGCTCAGTCCAGAGCTTCCGTCGTTGTCCATCTTCTTTAGCGCCCATCTCGCGGGCGACGGCTCCTCGTGTCGCTGTCGGTCGTTGACGCATCTCCTGGCGGAGTGAAGCTCGATGGCGATGTACAGATGGTCGCTGAGCGACTCCAGCTCCAGTTCGTTACTCTGCGTGCTGCTGCGGGTGATGCCCACGATAGATCGACTATCGATTCTCCCTGCCAGTGTACGCAGGTACTCATTCTGCCGATGTTCAGCAGACGGAGGTCCAGCCCTGCTGCCCAATTCTCCACCACTTCTCCTCTCGGGTTGGTCCGGGGGTAACCCCAGAGCGTGGACTTCGCATTGAAGTCGTCCCCCAGGACCAGTACCTGCTGGTCGCGCAGGCTGTCCAACAGTTTTCGAAACGGTGCCAGTGACGCGTTCGGGGGGGGGGGGGATGTACACTCCGGCCACGATCATGTCACGTAATAAACGAGACTTTGATACAAAAAAAAGTTGTCGAACAGCCGGAGCTGTTCGAGCGACTTTATTTATAAGTATATGATTTACAATATTGAGGCAAACCTTAGTCTATTGACTGAAGGCTACACCCTGACACAATTAAATTAAATTAACTCTTTGCACTCGAGACCCTTTTTCGCGCGGCGAACCAGCAACTCGAGACCTTTCGGAGCATTTTTGACGAATTCCTTATCACTAACTTAACCCTTTGTACTCGGCACCGTTTCGGACGTTATCTACCGGCAACTCGACGCCACTTTTTCGCG